ATTAATTTCGCCTTCGGGTGAGAACTTTTCAAAATGCTTTCAAGCAATCGTCATCATCACTTTCCTCGGCGGTGAGAGCAATTTTCATCCCCCACGAAGAGCTATGTCCGCTTTTTTTTTACATTTTTGGCTTCTTGACGCAACATAAATTAGGTTTTAATAGTTGATGGTTAGTAGTTACCCATAACCAAAGAGTATACGAGGCATTGACATAAGATTTGAGGCGTGAACAAAGCAAACTACTTGGATGGATTCCTGGTTCAGAAAAAGAACCGATAATCTAAATACCTTGCCTAGCTATGATTTAATGTGTTAGAGACTAGTAGCGGGGTTAATTGGTTCTATCGTTTCTTTCTCTTATAAAAAAGACATTAAAAAGGCACATGCGTTTAGTTACCTAAATATTTTGAGAAATTTATTTGCCCGCTTGTGAAGTAAAATTGCATTTCACATTATTAGAACGCAGCTACCTAAGTGAGGATTCTGAATTCTTCTTTTCCCATCTAGAAATAGTCTTTATTCATTCTTTCTTCATCGTTTGCGAAATAGCAAAATTTTAAAATAATGAAACCTTATAAATCCCAAAGTACATGAAGGTTTAGGTTTCTTCTTTTTTTTTGTTTTTAAAGAAAAATTTCATTACTGTTAAATAGTTTTAATTCATTTAGCTTTTTTTTTTCATTTCTCCTTTACCTTTTAATCAATAACAAAAAAGAAACCCTTTATTTTATAAATTTATAACTTACATAAAAAAAAAAATCTAAATGGAAACTTATAATAATGCCCTCTGAACATTAACGTTGCCGTTGCCGTTGTCGTCGTCATCATCATCATCATCAACATCAACATCAGCAACAACAACAAGAACAACAATCATTCAGCCAAAAAAACAGAAACAACATTATTGCCATCACTGTATTTTGTAGTCGTCAACGTTATATATGAACACATATTTATATATATACCAAAATAATATTGGGTGCATGCATGTATTCTAATCATTTTTTTCACTTTATTGAGGAAAATTCTTATATCTTATATGTAAATATATATGTATATATTGTTATTAATCAAAATATTTTGCATCATTTTCTAAAACTTCGTTCCATCTTGCCATTTTCCATTCTTTCGGACCTTCCCCATCGCATTTAAACGTCGCGAAACAGTTGATTCATCAACTGCTAATCTGTTCGAAAGCGCTTTGAGACCTTGAGCTGGATTCTCATTCAATAACTCTTGCAATTCATTCTCTTCGAATTTTTTTGGTCCTCCAGGTCGTTCTTTATCATTGACATCAAAATCACCGCGTTTAAACCGTTGAAACCAAAACCGACAATTCGGATATGACGGGGCGGCATCACCATAGGCTTCTACGAGTGTTTTATGGGCTTCAGCCGCAGATTTCTTCATATCAAATAACATAAGTAATGAATATCGAAAGTGCAATTTCGAGCGTTCCATGATTTGCGCGTCGTCTGTATACACCGAATAACTCGATAATACTAAACGGAGAGTTGTTGTTGTATGTAGTGAAAGGTCAAAATCATCGAATTTAACTGTTCGCATTATATTATCATTTTCACCAAGAGATGTCGCTGATCAAAATACATGAAAGCACCTAATATATGCAATACATAGCGCATATATATATATATACATGTATATATAAAGTATAAAAGTATGTACACACAAACCCATATGCCCAACTTTAATAACAACTTGTGTTGTTTCTTGCTCTCTTTCTTATTCGCATGTATACATAGGTATAACAGAAGAAGAAAACAGAAAAAAAAAAACAACAAAACCTCTCTTTCCCCATAGAAAATATACCTACATCTGCACGCAAAACATTTAAATGTATATGTATATATACTGTTTGAAAAGAAGAAAAAAAAAAATCCAACAATTATTATAAAAACAGCAAATGCGGCGTTGTCAGTTTTCACAGTAGAAAACAACGAGAGCAACAATAACAGAAACCTACTCAATAAGCTACGTACTATAAGAAACATTAAGCATTGTTGCCACATTTCTACATTGATATGAGGAATTTGTATTTTGTGCAGCTTCTGCTAGTGTTTTGTTATTGCCGCTGCTGCCCATGTTGACGCAGTTACTTCCACAGATGGCCATGTATAGATAGTTAAATGTGTATGTGCACACAAAGATACTTAAATACACGACCCTATACACATATGTATACACCATGTTGTCTACTTTAAACCATAAAAGTAGAGTTTTTTTTTTTTATTATTTTTTTTTTTTTTAAACTCAAATGGTTATGTTGCTCTGTATGTATGTTATTGATTTGGTTTCAGCAGCGTGCATGTATGCCTGGTTTAGGTTATAATATGTATTCAAGAGTGTTTATTTGGATTCTATAAAGAGAAAACTACCACAGCGAAGTTCGAGAAAAAAGTCGATTTTGGCAAAAACTAAGAAAATTTATAGAAGAAGACGAATATATATAAATATACATATATATATATATTTATATGCTTATGAAACGCATGAAATATGTATTAGCATTAAGAAACCCTAGGTAAAATCTCTCTTTTTTAATCTACGTATAGTCGAGCACAATATGTATGCTTACAATTAAACAATTCCTGATACCTACCTACAAAACTAAATGTCTTTATACTTTCAACTATTATTTTCCAGATTAAAGCAAACCTTTACCCCCGGATTTAGGCATTAAAATGTTAGTAGAGGATTATAATTTTTACTATGCATTGACATCGCGACACGGTGCACGTTTTTTGACAAAGAATATTATTCGAAGGGAATATATTCCCGTGCAAAAATTTTTTTTTTGTTTTTTCATTTTTATTCTTAACATCGACATATGGAGGCTTAAAAATTTTCATTTCGTTTGTAATATATAAGAATTCATTCCGTCCGTCCGTCCTTACAATGAGTTATGTATATTTTCAATATGTGAGTTAATTTAGTGATGCTGTTTGTTTGGTCATGTTTGATTCTTGTCATTTTAAAGTTGAAAAATCGTAACATGACCGTGACTCAATTCAAAAGACGAGTTTGAAAACGATGCGATTTATACTCTATGTCTAAGATAATAAAATGCCTTTACTGCCAAGTTGTTTGAATTTTTACGCAACTGTACACAAATATTAATCTGATATTTATCAAAAATTTTCAAAACTCTTTTGCGAAGAATGCTTCAAATTATAAACAGCTTTACGGTTGTACGTTGAAATAGTTTTTTTCCAAGTGAATCAAGAAAAGGCTTTTCTTATACTATAATACTCAGAATCGTTAGTTAAAAAAAAAAAATGTACAAAACTCAAATAAGTTCGTAAGTCGTACGATTTCAGTTGCAAGCGAGCATACAATCGCTATAATTCCGAAATATCGAAAAAAGACTCCTTCAACTCCTTCCCTTATAATGTCTTATTTTGAAAAGTCATAGGGCAGTCTAGGGCATTTAATGATGGGCTGTGAATCACTAAAATGCTATTCCTTGTTTTTCTTATATTTTTAAAAGATTGATTTACGTAATAATAATCTTTTGTAGCACCACTAGAGCAAAAAAATGTTCTCTTCAAAGTGAACTTTCGACAGTTAAAGTTACAAATCTGTGTGCAAATCTCCAAATTTATTTTGAGCGTGTCGATAAGGCCAATCAAGACCGAATTCATGCTGTATTTTGGTTGATCCTGGGGAATATTTATTTAATATACGGCATATATATGTTCGTAAGCGGGTTCGTCGTTCTTGCTTCACTTCAGCGACGACGAATTAAGAATTTGTTTTTTTTATCAATTAATTTTTATCATCGTTAGTCGTTCAGTACAGGCAAACGGAGAAATGACTGAATGAATATTGACAAGTCTATTATAATAATGATCAAGTATACGTGTACCCGAAACGGACTCTCATCTACTATGATTCTTTGCGTCGTGATGTGCCTGTAACATCAACTAGAAACGGAAACACATTTAAGTTTGATCGCGTCCTCTATTTATATGAGTTATCCGCACGAGTAGTCGAGTAGGTAAGAATCGCGACTACCAAATTAGTGATCGTCAAGTTAGTTCTTTCTTAGAATTTATGTTGGCATAACAAAGGCATAACAATTACCTATTGCGCGCACATTCACTAGGCTATGACTACTTCCCTCTCGATTCTCTCATTTTTCACTTCTTTTTCTGGCTCTCACGGTGTTGCAGCTACAGGAGTTATCGTGTCCCGACTAATTGGTCACTTTAAAAAAAAAAAGATATGAGTATAAATTTTTAATGCCTCAATTGATTGCGTGTTTTTTCTATTGCCCGAAACTCTACCAATTTTTAAACTACCTTATTTGGACTTGGGAGGTATTAAACGCATTTATATATCGATACTAGAAGAAACGCGTGAGTCAATATGACCTCTCTGAAGCTTTGAAACTAAAAAGATGGCTATAAAGCATGTAGGGTTCCAATGTTTTTTGATGACTGATCATTAATTTTACGCCACCTGGTCTAGCTTTCGAGATACCGATGGCAAGTATCTATGGGTAATATTTTATCGGTCAATTTAGTTCATAATTTTTATGGAATCGTTACAATCGGAAAAATGAGAAAGGAGATTTAAGATTGGAATGAGAATATGAGATTTAAGCTTGGAAGTAATGCGCGGATAGGGACGTCCACAATTTAAAACAAACAAAGGTAAATTAAAAAAAAAAAAAAAAACCAGGAAAATTCTTCACGGGCTCGAAACTCGAGCGTGGATATCGACAGATCAGACCGATTTTTGAAGCTTATTATATTTTTAATCGATCGCGAAATGTTTTTGTGAAAAATTTCAACTTGCTGCCTCTACCTTTGTGAATGTAGCGATATCACGAATGTTGTAGGTCAGAATGGCCTGAACCGTATACGAACAATATCGGTAGTTCTAATGTTAAACAAAAACTTTGCTTGATTCATTTTTCTCTTATAAATGTTAATCGAAGTTTTATTAATGATAAATTAATTTCTGTCTCATTTCAGATGCTGTTTTACAAATTATTATAATAAATACCCTAAATTTACTATTCTTAGATAAAATTAATTCACAAAAAAAAAAAAAAAAAAAAGAGCAAAAAAAGAAAAGAAGAAAGAAGGAATTAAAGTTAATTATATGTAAATAAATGTAAATTTTAACTTTAAAAAAGTTGTGTATGAGAGAGAAAGTAATAAAGCGGCATTACGATTATTATTTTTAGAAATTTGAATGGGTGGAGTGCGCCCATTTAAAAAATATTCGCCTCCATGAAGTTTCATAAACAAAAATGGTACGAGAGACCCACAACGTTTGCTTTGGACAAATAGCCCAAGAAACACAAGTCGCTGTTAAAGAGGATACTACTGCTGTTAAACGGGATCACTTGAAAAGGTAAATAACAGGAAGGAAAAAAATATGAAAAAAACTATATATAAATATATATTTCTATTTTATGTAAAGTAAATATTCAGCATCTAACTAAAATTTCCATCATTCTGCACACTTTTCCTGCCACCAACCTTTTACTAACTTTAAACAAAATCAATTAAAATCAAAAGATTCGGTCGTAAACGAATTCTTTATACACGTCACCGTTGTCCTAAAAAGGATCTCAGAAATGTGAAAAAACTAAATTTTCATACTCTATAGTATGGATTTTACCGCATAGGCATGTCCTTTAAAAACTTTGCAGCATTTCATTTTCGTTAACGGGAGAATGTGCACCATGGATATTCCAAATTTGAAACTGGACTAGAATTTATATCTTTTAGGGGTTTTTTAAAGCTTGCTTCTGCGCGCTGTGAAGACATTGTCCTCATTTTTACAGGTAATGCAGTTTCGCCTATACTGTAAGCGTTTAAATTTTTGAACATATATCAGCTATAATTTATGATTATTAAGCAAAACGACCAATATTTTATTCCTTTTGAAAAACCGAAATATTCTCAGTTGACATGGGCCTGTAGGCGTACCATTTGACCGATTGATTTGGCCATATGTATGTTTACAACAAACATTACACGGGCGGACCAACGGACGGATAAACTTAGATCGGTTTAGAGTTTCATGCTGATGAAGAATATATATATATATATATATATATATATATATATACATATTCTTTGAAGTTTCTGGAGCTTCCTTCTGGGCGTTGCAAATGTCTTGACAAGATTATTATACCCCACATTTTACGGTGATGGGTACAACAATGATTTTCTATTTATATATAAATTGCTTGTGTGTGTGTGCGATGAAAATTTAATCGAAATCTGTCAATTATCTGATAAAACTCAACAAATCAGCGTCATTGTTGTCGTTCGCAGTAGTTGCAGCTTTGGAAGCCCCATACAATATTTACGTGTCAAATTATTTCATGACTAAATTTCAAATTACAGATATTTACCAGAAATAAATTGTAAAAGATATCGATAAAAATTAAAAAAAAAATAAACAAATAAAAAAACGGTTGCTTGTTACATATGATTTAATGATTAGTGTGGATCGATTGGAAAGCTGAATACTTTTTCATGAAAACCTGTATGGAACTTGGGAAAAAGGAAATTTTCAGCGTAAGAGAAAAAAACCCAAGCACTATTTACTTTTTCCTTTTATCATTTATTAAAGATGAAGAAAGAAAAACGTATAAGAAAATTTTAGGCGGCGTAAGGCGAAACTTGGGGTGACCAGTACACCAAAAAAAAAAAAAAAAAAGATGTGGAGAATTTTTTATTGATATTTTAATTTATTTTTTTATCTTTTGGCCGGAGAAATAAATTGTAAGACTAAAGTTTCGAAGTTCTCATCATCTAAGGCACTTTAGATTTGCACCCACGATCGTTGAGTTGTTAGTCAATAACTTTTACTAATATTATAATTATTACTATTACTGCTATTAATAACGCCAGAGAAATAAATTCTAGGATGAAGAAGGTCTTAAAGCTCTAACATCTAAGGTTATATCGGTTTTATTTAAAATTCAACCGAACTTGAGTTTGGAACAAGCGGCCGTTGAGTTGTTAGTCGAATCCCTTTTCTCACTTACTGCCGTTTAGAATTACTGGCGTTTAGAATTATTTTTTAGAAAACTCCGCTTGATACTTGTTTTTATAGGGTCCCGTCTTATTGGTGAACTTAACGTAAGGCGTAAGGCGAGATTTTGTTGCTTATAAAAGAAAAAAAAAATATCAAGGACCTTTCATTAATAAAAAATCTATTTGTAATTCGAATAGAATTATTTTTAAGCATCTTACTATATCAATACTACGATTTCGTCTATTTGATGTCCTGGGCAATTATGTGAAAACATAATCAACATCCAAGAAAAATAATTAAACGATTCATTAAAAAAATTACAGAGCAAGTGCTACATATGTATATATATATATATATATATATATATAATATCTGCCTACTGCCTACTTTGAAACATGATCTTTGCGAATAAGAATCTCTTCAAGCTGGAAGACTTTATATCGTAATTTTTGCGACATTAATAATGCCCAGCAGTAGACTGGAAAGACAGATAAATACATTTTACGTTTTCAGGCGCTGATCGAGAGCACTCATTGCATAGAGTATTTAATGGATATTTTCAAAAGTTACAGACGTAAAGACAAAATATAATTTTACTTTATCCTTCGTTGGTTATGATAAAAACCAAACCAAACTTCATATATTAATTTACTTGAACAATATATTTTAGAAACCGGTTGTTGCTGGGTTTTTTCTCTATAGTGTAAACCCGTTCAGAAGGCTTATCATCATGAGCTATTATATGAATAGCTTAAATACGCAAAGGCAAATAAAGAAGAAAATCTGTCGATTTTATTGGCAGCCTGCATCGAAATATTGATATGCACTACACCTAGACAGATAGATGACTGATAATCAATAGAACTATTACTGCGACAGAGATTATTGAGGATGGCAGAGTTCGCTATATATGGAAATATTGTATTTTTGAAATGAAACTGCGTGCATTAAGTAATTTTAAAACAGATTTTATAAAATTTCCTTAATTACACTACGACGAGCCACGAACAGAGAATATCCTCTGTACCTGAGAGGACGATGCCAGCCAATACGAGTTAAAAGGTGCAGAGAGGGATGGAAAGATGTAGTAGTGCTTGTGAACGTTTAGTTTAATAGTGAAGACCACTGCTCGTAGATTCGACCACTGGCGGACAGTGTGATTGAAAAACTTGATGAGCAAATGTTTCTAAAAGTCTTTTAAAATACTCGTAGACAAAGAATTTCATTTAGAGAGGCGAATATTAAAAATTTCACTTAACGTTAAAGGCGGTATACGCGACTTATAAAAAGAAGAATTAAAAATTGTTACCAAAGAAAGTTCAAAAACTAAGTATCAACACTCCAAACAATAGCTAACAATAAACTATCCTATCATCAATATTATTGCCATCATTATTTTTGCAAAAGCAAGGAAAAAAAAAAGGAAAAAAAATTTTTTGTTTATATACAAACATTGTTTAACATGATGGTTTTGTATTGATGCTTTAGCCATTACTTTCAAGCCACTGTACTTTATAAAACTTCGCGCCACACAACATATAAAATCAATTTGTTTGTCTTTCTTTCACTCTCTATCTCTCTCTCTCTCTCGCTCTCGCTGTCGCTCTTTCTCGCTGTTGATGGCAGTCGATGACGGCAAAACATCTTTCTATGCTACAATTCATTCTACATAAGGCTTTTGTTTTGTCTAAAGCAGTGCTGTTGTTGTTGTTTTTTTATTTATTTTTTTTATCATTTGGCTCTCGCATTGGTAAATCCGGAAAAACAACAAACCTTTTTATGGTAAACCATTTGGCTAACTTTTTTTTTTCTTTATTACTGCACATACATACATACGCGCATGTATTATCTATATGCACATGAATCCAAGTAGTATTTTGGCATATATATTTAGTTGTATTGGCATTTGTCATACTATTGGCGGTTTGTTATTATTATTATTATTGCTGCTGCTGCTGCTGCAGTTGCCGCTGCCGCTGTTGTTGTTGTTTTTGCGAAGGCAAAACCCAAATTAAATACGAATATTATTATTATTATTATTATTACTTACTATTAATTTTTGCGCTAACATAGTAAGCATTATAATTTCTATATTTAATACGTGTCGGAATTACTCTTTTTGTTTTGCGCTTGATTATTGTGAAATTCGCATTTTTTGCAATTTTTACTCAAATGTTGTCATTTCTTTATCTAAAAAAAAAAGCGAAAACTTTATTATTGTGACAGTTATTTTGTCACACTTAAGCTCTCAAAACGCATACACAATACGTAATTGTGTGAGAATATTATCACCTCATCTTTGGGTATTGTATTTTTTTTTTTTTTTTTTTTTTTTTTTTTTTTTTTTTTTTTTTTTTGTTCAATCGATTTTCTGATATTCTTTCTTCACTTCTTTTTTTGCTGTAAATTATAATTTTTTTGATGAAATGTGGCAACAGTTCACTAAAATATGAATTGTAAATTTATGTATTATATATATGGGCACAGCTTTTTCAGATTTCGGAGGTGTTTTGTTGTCTTTTTTGTAATGTACACATAACAAATATAATGTGTAATCCATGTTTTGTGGCTGATCTTCTAAGTTCATCGAGTGGGGAGAAACGGCCCTGTAGCTGTAAAATTTAGAATCCATTGTTATACCCGTGAGGGTTTTTGTCAAAACGTGTGCAACAATCACAAGGGAGCTCCAAAGATCGCATAAAGTATGCATATTCTTGATTAGCACCAAACTGGAAATCGTTTTAAGCAAGTCCGTCCGTCCGTTAGTCTGTGCAATGCATGTTCTAAACATTCTTGTAGCCGCAAAAATGAAGCTATCCTCTTCAAATTCGATAGTAACATTGACAATCCTTGTACGCTAGTTGGTATTGAAAATAGAACAAATCGATCGAACGGCACGTCCAAAGCTTCACGTAAACTGAGAACACATTTGTGTTTCAAAAGGTATAAAAATTTGGTCTTATTCTCATTACTAACCACAACAGATTCATCGATATTCTGCATTATCTATAGGTGGTCCTCCAGAACGTGCAGGGAAATGGAAAAAATTTTCCGCGCCTGCACAAGCTTATACATATGTTATGTGTACAAATTTTATATGTTTTCGACTTTGTTGATGTTTTCTGCCCATAGCTCATAAGATAAACGAAAATTAGTCGGTAGATTCCTCACGTGGAGGTATATTATCCGTCTAAAAATCTGTTGATACTGAAGTAGATATGGTGGATCCCATAAAGTGAAGGATTCCTTTTATGTCTCTTAGCAATATAATCAAATGGGCATCAAATAAAAGGACTTGAAGGACAAAATGCAACAAGCCAAGTGTGTTAATTCTAAAGTAAGTGTCACGGATAACGATG